CTCTGTTCCATGAACTAAAGCTCAGAAAACTTCCTAATAAATATCTTAAGGATTTTATGTCTCACAATTAAAAAATTAGAGTGAAATACAAGACGTCCACAAACACTCTACATGTGTTACTCGTCTCTCTCACATCTTCAAGATGCTGATGTTTTCAAGGACTTCTTCCAATAGAAGAAGATTATAAAATATGGTTAGATGGTTGTGATGTAGTTAAGATTAGCTGCCATAACATATTAAGTTTTACATCTTTACGTAATATGAAATGTAGAAAGCCGATATTAACTTAAAATTTTCGCTGATATTCTAGGGTGCTGGTTCAAGTCCTTTGCAGTTACATTACTCTTCCCCTCTATGCTCTTGTAACCCAGGTTTGCACTCTATCTCTCTTTCACCCACACAAACACACACACAATGCAAGTACATAGACAAGCACAGACATGCGAGCACACGCGCACGTACAGACAACAATCACATTGTGAGGAAGGGAAATGTAATTAACTCAGAAAAAAAAAAAGTTTCCTCTATCAAGCTCTTCCACATTGTGCAGATAAACTCCTCCCCCCAACTTCTCACACGTCCTCTAACTTTTGACTCCTTCCTATTTTTTTATCATCCTCCTCCCCTCTCCTTTCTCTAACACTACTAGCCTAATTAATGGGGGAGCGGACATTGTAAGGATGTAAATCACATATATCCCGCAGGTCAGCCGTTAGCATTTATATGTAGTTGTGTCATGTGTGTGTGTGTGTGCGCGTGTTAAAATTAAGCTTGAACTTGAATTCACTAGCTGATTTCTGCATACAGATGGGTTCATATTTTAAGAGTGCAGTGCTAGAAGAGGAAACAGTGCATGTCATAAAGCAATGGCATGCCGAAGTGAGGGAGAAAAGGAAGAAACAACCATGTTCACATTCTCCTAGTCCTCGTGATCATTCATCACCAACATGGAGCAACTGCAGAACCACCTCCCCGGATCCATCTTCTCATCACCGGAGCCCCACCCTGGTGGAGTTTGCCTCTCGTGGTGGTGCTGAGATTACTGAAGACCATCAAGAACAAGTAGTTGTTCGGGATGAAACAGTTCCAGATGATGTTTCAACAACTGAGGTGCAGTTACAGATGCCAGACATGAGTAAAAAACAAAACTTAAAAGTAGGACGCATAAGATAGTTAGAATCAGTTACATATACATTAGTTTTTCTTAACCATTTTGTATTATCATTGACATGCCAAGGTGTAAATGTGCTCAACTCTTATCTTTCATAATCTTAATAAAATTTTGATTTCTTTTTATTCCACAAGTTCTTCATATTTTAACAAAAAAAAAAATGTATTTTTCCTTCGAGTGACGGTACTTCATTTTACTTTTCCTAATTCTCTTTTCTTTTTGGGAATACATACAAAATAAATAAAGTTTCGTTAATCGTACAAGCTTCCGCTAATAGAGAATTAATAGTCAACGCATCAAATTTTTAAATTTATGTCTCGCAAAAGACATAATATGGTGTAACTGGTGGGTGGGCTTGCCCCACACCCCATGTTTTATTGAGGGTCGGCACATAACCCGTGGCCCAATGGGCAGAAAAATGGTCCAATGGACCACCGAGCTAATAGATAAGTCAACTCACGACGTGGCAGGCATGACTGACCTATTAGCCCAGTGGTAAAGCCATAGCCTTGTACTTATACTCTGTTTGATAGGAAGAATGAAAAATAAGAGAAATACATTTTTTATCCTTTAAAAAATAAAATAGAAATGATATATTTGTTTTTATTTGTATTTGGTAGGATAGATGGAAAATAAAAATGAATAAATTTTTTTTTTACTTGGTTAGATGGAAAAAAATATTTTTTTATTTTTTATTTAAATTTTTTTTTAAAAAATAATACATATTTTATCATTGTATTTATATATGAAATTAATGTATAAATAATATATGTATGAATCAAAAGATATATAGACAAATAAAATATATTTTAACACAAATAATTAACTTTTGAAAAAATTTCAATCACACCTCCTTTAGTTTATTATATCTTCAAGGACACCCCCTCTAGTTTCTGAATCTTCAATGACACCCCTGTCAGATTAAAAATATTAAGTAGAATATAATTTTACTAAATTGCCCATGATATATTTGAGTACAAACTTCATCCACACCCCCTCTAGATAAATATATCTTCAATGAGACCCCATCTAGATAAGTATATTTTCAATGAGACTCCTTCTGTTTTCTAATTTTTTTTACGTAATTAAATTCGAATTGATTAAAATTCGATTCAAACTAATTAAAATTTATTTTTTTACATATTAAATTTGTGCCAATTAAAAATTATATTTTTTTTTTACGTATTAGAATTTGGGCTAATTAAAATTTTGTTTGAGCCAATTAAAAATTATTTTTAATTGACTCAAATTAAATTTTAATTAATTCGCATTGAATTTTAATTAGCCAAAATTTTAATATATAAAAATATATGAATTTTAATTGACTTAAATTTTAATAAATATAATTTTAATTGACACGAATTTTAATAAGTAAAAAAATATAAATTTTAATCGACTCGAAAGAGAATTTTAATCGGCGCTAACAACTCGGGTAGAGTTCAAATCGGCTCAAATTTTAATATGTAACAAAAAAAATTAATAGGCTCGATTTTTTTTTAAAATTTACTAATTAGTAAATAAAAAAATTGTATTTACTAACAAATTATTTATTAAAATTGTTATTTATGACTTTTTTAAAAATTTTAACAGCTCGAATTTTAATAAAATTTTATGTAAAAAAATTACTTGAGGTTATGTAGGGGCATTTTTGGTATTTTAGATGAATTTGTTTTGTTAGAAATAGTAGTTTAATGGTAGGGGGTGCTAGTGATTTTTAAATAAAACTAGAATGGGTGCCATTGAAGATTCAGAAATTAAAGGAATGTCTTTGAAGATATGGTAAACTAGAGGGGGTGTCGTTGAAATTTTTCCTTAACTTTTCATCTACTTTCCTTCAAATTTTAGAATGATTGATTTTGCTAAGTTGGAAGAAAAAGCTAACTATCAACTTTTTTATCCTTCCTATTTTTCTTTTTTACCAAGTATAATATTTTATTTATCTCTCCAATTTTCCATCCTTCCATTTATCTATCGTACCAAATAAAGGATTAAGGTTGGACGGCAAGATGGGTTATCCCGATTTAGAGCATGAAATGATCCAATAGCCCGATTATCTATTAAAACAACACTTCCGGATTTATATATTTCTTTCAAAAATGTATTTACATTTAAAAATACCTATTTTTCATGATATAAAAACTCTCCATCTGTTCCCCCTTGGGGCTTGAGGGGGGCTTTTAGTCCTTCGATTAAGCTGTTAATAGTACTTATAGTCAATGTCTTTATCTAGATGAGTGGAATGAAGGGATAAAAACCTGCTCTAGGGCGAATAGGGGTGAAATGGCTCTTTCAAGCGAAGTTACAAGCCACCCTCTAAGATTCGGTTGGCTCGTATAAGATTGATTAGCTTGACCCGTGTTGAGCTTGGTCCGAAAAATTGGGCCGGACTAGTCGTACCCTGTTTATTGTTTAACTTAACTTTTTTATGATATATTATAATAGATCCAAATTCCTTCAAATACACTATGTCGTAAATTTTTGCAAAATATATGTTGGACGTTGTATGACCAAGAAAAATTAAAAGGTAAATCACAAAAACAAACACTCGTGAAAAAATATAATGAATAGAATCTAAATCCAATATGAACCCATAAAAACACTCAAATAACTGAATTCCGAGCATTTATTGTGATTAATGTACGATCTCCGTCTCATTATGATGGTTTAGACTAGACAAGTGAAAATATGACAACCTAAGTGCGACAAAACAACATGTTAGAGAGCTAAAACCCTAGACTTGAGACAGTGACTGAACACTTCTTCATTGTGACATTAAACAGGAAAGGCCCTCTCTTTATTATGACAATTGACAGATGAAGCTCAATACAACCGAGAGCACCACCAGTATTGTGGACATTGAAATTGAATCAAAGTACATGCAGACAAAACATAGTTAAAGTAGGAGACCCACCTCTAATCATAAATCAACAATGTGTTGTCCCATTAGTTTACTTCTTGTTGGAGATGAATTATTCCGCCAAATTTGATAAACATTTTTGATTTGGGATAATGAAGAATCTTAAATCATGTCTTTCTTTACACTCGTAAATGTCAGATGTGTGTAATCATTCATAACCATGCATGTGTAATAAACAGGGTTTTGCTATGAGAATTCAAAGTTGGGATATCGGGATGTAAATTTTTAAAATGATGTGTTAACATGACATGAGCCCGATAATGACATAATCAATTAATAAAAAAAATTGGGTTAATGTTAAACATAGAAAAACCCATTCAAATTAGTTGAACTAATATTGTAGGTATGTATGAATCAAGTTGATCTTAGTTTATTGGAAACCTATATATGCCGAATTAAATTGAGAGAAAAGGTGGTTTTAAAGATTGGACGAAAATAACATCAACGAAGATGCTACGAAATGACATGATATAAAAATGGCACAAATCTAAAATAATACGATCTTAATTTAACACAATATAACTCGATTAAGACTGAAACCCCGAAAACTTATTCATGGTTGATGGGCCTTGTACCAGTAAGGTATGGAAAATGACTTTTTGATAACTCTGAAAGGAATTGTGACAGAGATATTGGGGGGCTCCAATCAACTTGAGGCTGAAGTTTCAACAACCCAATAGAAAAATTGCTAAAGATCATAGTTTCCCATATGTCTGGACCCTTGTACATCCATTCTATGACTTGTTTGGGGAAAAGCATATGAACCACACAAAGGCATAATATAAAAATGACACAAATTTAGGACAACACGATCTGAATTTGACCCAATACAATTTGATTGGGACTGAAAACTTAGAAACTTATCCGGTGTTTAATGGACATTGTACCAATGCGGTATGGAAAATGACTTTTTGATAACTCCTAAAGGAATGGGCACAGAGATATTGGGGGGCTGCAATCAACATGAGACTGAAGTTCCAACAACCCAATACGAAAATTGCTAAAGATCATAGTTTCCCATATGTTTGGACCCTTGTAAATCCATTATATGACTTGTTTGGGGCAAGGCATATGAAACTCATTATGTTCTTGTGGCCCTAAGCTGCCACATTAGGGAGCAAAACAATTTCTCTCACCCAAGCATGAAGGATATAGGTGTAACGACAAATTTTGTATGTAATATTAACACCAAAGTAATGTTAAATTATAATTGTTTGACAATTTAACTTTTGAATAAAAAGTAGTGTTGACTCTCTTTGACGTAAGTTACACTGCTTTCTGATTCTCGGTGGATCAAGTAAAGATGAGAGTTGAATCGGTGTGTTTCTCGATCTTTGATTCGGTGATGTATTTAATGAATTTGATGAAAACGAGGGTTGGATCAACGCGATTCTCGTTCTTTGATTTGATGATGCTTTTGATAGATTTGGAAAAGGTGAGGTCTTGGTCAACGTGATCCTTGGTCTTCAATCTTTAACTTGGTGGATTTGTTGAAAACGAAAGTCAAATTGACATGATTTTCGTTCTTTAATCTTTGATTTTTGTGAATTTGTTAAAAACAAGAGTCCAATTGACGTGATTCCGTTTTTCAATTTGATAATGGCTTTGTTAAATCTTCTCACTGTTTTTTGTGTTGAATTGTTTGAAGATGATTTGAATCTCTTAAAGAAAGACATTGACAGTGTTTCTTCTCCTTAGAGATGAATTTGCAAGATAACGATCGGGGGTAGGCGGCAGAACTTCGTTGCTGATTTTCTTTTCTCCTCCTGAAAAAATCTCAAGTAGAGCTTCTTAATCTTCCTTCGTCTTTCTCACATCTTGGTTTTCTTCCCTTAGCCTCTTTTTTTGCTCCTCTGGCCTCTATTTATAGCGCTAGAAATAGTTATCTATAAGGATAGTAGTTATCTATATAAGTGTATTTTTACCTAAAAACCCTAATATGGCATTTAGGTAGTGGGTTATCCATAAATTTTAGGGGTTTGGTTAATTTATGGAATTTAAATATAACTCAATTTACCTTTAAAAGATTTTTTAATTTAGGCCTATGAAATTTAAGTACAAATCAATTAAATTAAATTTGAACTGCCATTATTAGACTCACGGAATTTAGGTCCAACTCAAGTCAATTTAATTAGATTTAGAT